CTAATTCTTGAGAGGTAGGTAGAAAAAATATACCATAATTGATAGAACAAAAATGGCATCAATATAGACTAGTTAGATCTGAGACTACTATACCACTGTAGTCTCAGGAGGTGACAAGGGGTATTCCGCATGATTTCCAGTTTTTTTCGGGGGGAGGGTAAGTTTTTTCCACTTGCCACTTTTTTCTAAGTCTATTCCCAGATCACAGTTTTGTATCCCCTATATCCCCACACCCAACCTTTTTGTAATCCCGTATATCCCACATTACCAACTATTTTACCCCAGAAGCGTGTCATCCCCTCTCTCTGGTAAAATAGTTCCGGATACACTAACGTTTGTGCTCCGACATTAGTTTGATATACTATGCATTATCATTTACTTCCGTTGTTAACGAACAGACGACAAAAATATTTCCAAGTCCAAGATTTCTTTTAATGGGTAACTCCTTATTGCATGTACTGCTTGCAAAATATGCAATTACTAAAACAGATCACATAGATCATACATTAAGCTGATTTTTCAAAAGTGTAGTGAGACCTGTTATAACAATATATTGTAATATTTTAAAGTTTTGTAAATATTGACCTCTTGTTAAGGTTCATGTGGACCTTATGGCTAAAGTGGCTGTGTTAACACCTCAAAATTTACCCTGAGTACAGACAAACCCGTGCATCTGGAATAGTATGACCTAGATAAATAAAAATTCAGATGCATTTAATGTTTTAGAAAATTAAAAACTTAACTGGATTTTGCTGTTCAATTACTTTAGTTTACTTTAATTTATATTTATTTACAGCAAGACAAGCAACTATGTCTTGGGGGTGTAGGGTAATACAATTTAGTTATGCCTCTTTGTTTTATCTTCCCTGCTGTCATGTTACAAATTATATTATATGTTAATACATAGCAGTCATGCTGAAGCCTGGTATCTGTTCATTTTCTGAACAGCTGAAAGTCTCTCAGACATTGCACAATGTATAATTAAATATACATTAATTGTATAGCTGGTAAAGGATTTTAAGTTGAAAAGTTGTGGGGACCAAGTGATTTCAAAATGTACTTTGAATTGATATTCAGCCTTGTTACTTAAAAAAATTCCAAGAGAGACAATTAATCATGTTAATATGATGATTTAGGTTTATCAAAACTTTTTTTTTCCAATTTATGCAAATGTAATTTTTCTGTACAAGAGTAAATTTCATGGTTTAAACCAGGATTGGCAAAGTACTACTTGGGCTGGGCAAACACCCTAAGGGGACAGGTCATAAACACTTATAGAAATGTAAGTCTGATTATTGTTAGATAAACAAATCTGTACGCGTGTTATAATCTGAATAATTACTTATTGATTAGTGAAGTACATATATATAGCTTAGTAAACATTTTTAGCAATGAACAAAAATTGTTTAAAAGTAATTTTCTTTACATACAATTGTTAATTCCTGATAGTTATATATATTTTAAAAAAAATGAATTGAATTATTTGGCTATATTTATGTTAACAGTTTGACCAATCTAGACAGATTGCTGAATTAATAGATTTAGGAGGATTATTGAGAAAAGCTTTTCACATTTGTCTAATGAGTCCTCATATGTACACTTGTCTTAGAATTGCTGGAACAATACTTTCTCAGATTAATATCTTTATGATAAGAGTCTCAAACAAGTGATCTTTTGTTCATTGTTTTGTACATAAATCTGAGGCTTTTATTTTTTTGTTTTTTTTTGTTTTACATTTGTCATTTTGGGGACTTTTATAACTGACTATGCAGTATGGGTTTTGCTCATTGGTGAAGGCTGTATGGTGACCTATAGTGGTAAACTTCTTTGTCATTTGGTCTCTGGTGGAGAGTTGTCTCATTGGCAATCATACAGACTACACGAATGAATTTTATTTTTACAGGACATTCGGTCTGGTAAACAACCTAGCTTTACCAGACCGAAAGAAATTTTACCAGACAAATTTTTTTTTACATCTAATTGTATATTATCCGACAAAATACAAAAAAACTTATGATTTGTTGTGCCCTACTCCTGTCCAAAAATGCACAAAAACGAAATCATGTGACAAGAGTGTAAAAGTGATAAAAGTTGTGCACAATTGCTTGAATGCGTTTCAGTGATAAAGAAAAGTAATGTCACATTTTATTTGATTTTGACCTGAAAATTCTTTTTGAACTAAAATTATTTAGAGTTTCTGTATAAAATATTTCCTGTTTCTTCTGTCTTTTTCATATATCTTTTGGTTTTCAATTCTAGTGTTTATATTTCATAGCTGTATTTTGTGACCTGCTTGGATTTTTTTTATTTATATATTGTATTTATTGTTTGCAGTAAGAACGATAACTCTGGTGCAACGAGACTACAGTCAGATATGTTTTTACTCAGATAATTTTACACATTACTTGTTGGCGATTTTCGGCATAAAGCTAGCGGTTGAACAAAATAAACATCTCTGTCATGAATAATAAAGATTAAAATGAATTTCAAGATCATTTGGGAATTTTGCCAGAATGCTAGAAAAATCCATGAAAAAAAACAACACCGGACATTCGGACTGGAATTCAACAAAATTTTACCAGACCGATCCATTATTCACCGGATTTGTCCGACCGTCCGACGAATTTCGTGTAGTCTGAATCATACCACATGCATCTTCTTATTTTATATCATAAATTAAAATACTATTTTTTATTTCTATCTATAAATATCTTTAATGTATTGCATTGGTGATTAATCACTGATTCTCTTTAAAATTCAGACCAGTATTTCATATTACCCAGTATTGCCCAGGATTACCCGGCAAAACCCAGTAAAACCCGGGTTTTCCAAGTATTTCCCACTGGGCTGGGCAATACTCATAAAAACGAGGTTTTTGCCAACCCTGGTTTAAACACAATCATTGTTGTTTGTAACTGTAATTGTTATATTGTTTTGTTGGGTTGCTGTCTTATTGATGCACACAAAATGTTAGCAACCCAACAAAACAATATAACAATTTATTTTATCTTTGAAACTACAGTTTGGGACCGGTACTCAGATAACAAGAAAACTCTTAAAAGCTGATTAAAACCCCCCAAAATGATAGATATTACCTGAAAACTCTTAAAAGCTGATCATAACCCCCCAAAATGTTAGATATTACCTGAAAACTCTTAAAAGCTGATTAAAACCCCCCAAAATGATAGATATTACCTTAAAACTCTTAAAAGCTGATTAAAAACCCCTCAAAATGATAGATATTACCCCAAAACTCTTAATTTTTATGGTTTATTACAGCTTCAATTGATAATAAAGACTAAACTATCGAGATATATGTCACTTTTACTCAATTAAAGTACAATGAATTTAACTTCAGGAATAAGATTTTTGTATCTTGTTTGCAAGTTCCTTGTATAACAATATGGAGGACGTAATTTGAATAGAGTTACAAAATGTATCTATCTACCTTTTGTATAATCACATCTGCCATATTGTTATGTAAGAGAATTTGCATGCAAGACACAAAAATGGTATTCCAAAAGTTAAATTGTACTTGGATTAAAAGTGACATTTATCTCAAAATTATAGTCTTTATTATGTTGTATTCTTGTATGTAAGTACTTTATTTGTCATTGCTTGACCCTTATGGGTGTAATTTTGCAATAAAGATTGGATTTATCATTAATACAAGCAGTATTGAACCATATAAGTAAACTTTTTGGGTAATTTAAATCAGTTTTGGGGTTTTAAATTAGTTATCAGATTAATTTTGAATTATCAATATCGGACAATATAATTCACTTTTTTCAAAATTTTATGTGCATAGAAAATCACTGTAAATAAAGAATTTTACTATGGATATCTTGAAAACCAAGATTATCTGATTAAACTACAGGTATAACTTATAAATAATTTCTAACAGATGCTGTTCCTATTTAATGGACAATGAAAGCATCCCATTTATTCATTGAAATGTGACGTAGATTTTATTTCCTTTATACCAAAAGATACAGGACTTTTATATTACACTTTTCTTAGATTCTTTAAAAATAGGCTTACCATCACTACAAAAGAACATGCAATATTTTTATGCCCCACCTAGGGGCATTATGTTTTTCGGCCTGTGCGTCCTTTCGTTTGTCCGTCCGTCTGTTCGTCCATCTGTCCCGCTTCAGGTTAAAGTTTTTGGTCGCTTCAGATTAAAGTTTTTGGTCAAGGTAGTTCTTGATGAAGTTGAAGTCCAATCAACTTGAAACTTAGTACACATGTTCCCTTTGATATGATCTTTCTTATTTTAATGCCAATTTAGAGTTTTGACCCCACATTCACGGTCCACTGAACATAGAAAATGATAGTGCGAGTGAGGCATCCATGTACTATGGACACATTCTTGTTCCATCTCATATCATATACAAATTTGTTAAATTCACTGATATTTGTAGTGAAACAGTAATGCAAACAACAATGACTGGAGAACTTAAAGAACAGTGGGTTTCCCGTGTGATCAGTTATTCATCACAGTATGACAGTGGGAAGTAAGTACAAATGTATTACATATCCAATACATGCAGCCTGTTTTGATCAATAAAGATGGTGAATGACCGAAATTGATAGGCAATAGCTCATGATTAAAGTATCAGTTTCAGGTATCTATACTAACTATAGAGGGGCCAGCGGAAGGACGCCTCCGGGTGCGGGAGTTTCTCGCTGCATTGAAAACCCATTGGTGGCCTTCAGCTGTTGTCTGCTCTATGGTCGGGTTGTTGTCTCTGACACATTCCCCATTTCCATTCTCAATTTTATAACTGTATTTATTCTGCACCTATAATTTCATATTGTCTTTAATGACTTTGATGCTATATTGGAGTCCATCATGTAATGATCTTATTCTGTTTTAATGATTTCATTTTAATAATCTATGTGATAATTTAACTACAGTAGTCCATGTAAGAACTTTTACATGGACTGTTGTAGTGAGATCTGACATTACATTGTGTAACTTTGTGTTGTTGTATAGAATGTGGTACTGTCTGCAGATTCAACATGCATGACATTGTGATTTGGATATTAAAGAAATTGCTATTGTTTTCATGATGGAACATCATCCATTAATAGAACATAACTAAATATATGCGTTGCTTTACATACCGATATATGAAAACTTAAGGTCCTACATATGCCTTAATTTATTAAAGATCATAACTTCAAATATCATGCTTAAGGCAATATTAAAGTAAATATGAAAATTTTTATCTGGTGAGAAAAATTGCAAAATAGGTACCGTACATGAAGGTGTTATAACGGAAACACGCGCATTTATGTCTATGGCACTTAATATTTGTATTTATTCAATGTTCAAGATATATTATTTATAACATCCATTTTTGGGTGAAGTTTGCATGAAATGCAACTATCAAAACACTTAAATATTAGCTTAATAACGATATATCTTTAAAGCCTCATCTCTACCTTTGAGAGTTCAAACACAATTATGCATTGAGATGAAGATCATCTCCATACCCATGTCAAGCAATTGATTAGTGATATATATACTCAGATATTCAAGTTACAAAATGATATGTATATAATGCATGTCACCATACTTGTTAAGATAATTATTTTATTAAAAATTTGGAAGTTCTGCATTGTGCTTGAATCTATCTGTTCTAAAAAAAAAACAAAATAAAAACTCAAGTTCAAGTGCAATTATGGACAAGGAAAGATAACTCCAATTCAATTCCAAATATTACCAAAAAGTGTTCCATTGTAATTCAATGTTTAAACAAACACTTTGATTTATAAGCTATCTCATTTATAAAAGTAAAAGATATGAACTTTTTGATGAAACCTCATAAAATATGAGAAATTATATTAAATATATATTAAAGAGTACAATCACTTTAATTCTGACACTTGTTTAATTTTTACCTGTCTCAAGTGAGTGGTTTTGGCTGTTTTAATTGTTTATGTCTATTTAGAGTTACGTGTTTAATTCAGTATTCTTTTAAAGGAGAAATTCATGAAGGGATAAGATTGGGCCTAAGAGTGCAATTTTTATTTATCAAGCCAAAATACTATAATTTTTTTTAGCCTAATTAACTTTGGTAGTGCTCAATCCCTGATCCAGATAACTATTATATCAATGGGTTAAATATAAATCTTGACACCTTTTGGTTACAGAATATTTTGGATTGTAGGTTTAGGCTAAGCTTTTCCCTAAGGTTATAAGCCTGAAAAAGGCACAAAATCATAATATTTTGACAATATCTCCAGTTATCTCCAAAATGTGATGACTTTGTAGCCAGTATAACATACTTTTGTAAATAGATTTTTTTAGCTTGAGCATTAAAACTTTTGAAATAGATCCATTTAAGAACCATTATTGTGGCCTTTTTGATATTTTATGATAAATTTGAAATCAAAGGCCATATTGTGCCTTAAGGGAATTTTGTTCTTTATTCACATCTTGTCCATACTTTTTAAAATTTAGAGTTTGTCATAAAATGTGTCATTGGAAAAGACCTTAAGGTTAGGTAACTGGGAATAAACCCCTAGATGTATATTTTAGTTATCTTGGTGACAGGTCTCTCTGTCTCATTGATGTTGCCCATATCTTGTTTTATTCTTTTTTGCATATTGATATTGCATGTAAAACGACAAAAACTTTATTGGTTAATGTATTTCCTTTCAGTTGGGCAGCTGATAGTATAATAGGTAAACCTAGAGTATACCCAAAATATGGTGATATTCCTGGAGCATGGGCCCAAGGACAAAAAGATTCAAAACAGTTTATTGAGGTATGGCAAAACCTGAATTTTTTTTATGGTACAGATAAAACTTCAGTATTTCAACAACTCCTTAATTTGTATATGGAAAGCCATCACATTGAATACTTATACATTGAGTGTTGTCAGTACTGTGGTAGTATTGTTGCCCATGATACAAATATAAAGGCAGTATATATTCATATGTTATGTATTCATTAATGTTTTCTTTATCAGTGATAATTTAACTGTTTTAAGATATTTATATCAATAATATGATAAGCTTGACCACTTTAGAATTTTCATTCTTTAATTACATATTTTTGTTAGATATATTTTGTTTTCAAACAAATTTTAATTCCTTAATAGTTTAATTGTATTCTTGTTAAGAGGGCATCCTGTTAAGCTTGCTGTGAGGTGAAAAGAGTTATCCTTTTTCTTGAATGCCAAATATACAGTAACCTTTTTTTTTTTTTTATAGAGAATGAGGATATTTTTTATATGGTGTATTTGCATTGGCATATCTTATTTCCATTGAGATTATTGGGCTCAATCCCTCCACCATGGTTCATTGACTGTGGTGATAGCTGGTATAAAGTTGTATTAGGATTGGTATATCCCATTTCCACTGATACTTTTTGCCCTGCGCCTTTAGTTAAAGTTCTTTGATTTGGGATGTTGTGCATAGTTAACATGTTAAAGTATTGCCATTATAAAATCACCATTTGCATTTTACTATCAAATTACATTCAGGCGAGACATATATCAACAGTTTATTTTATAAAATTTTAGGTGGAATTTGACCAAGAAATCTACATTCAAAAGATAGAAATATATGAAACCTACCATGCTGGGGCTGTAAAAACAATTTCTGCTAGGAAACCAAACAATAATTATGAAGTTATATGGAACACAAAATCAGTCACCAACATGAACCGCAGCAGAATATTTTCACCAGATTTAAAGGTAGTATGCTTATATATGTACCTTTAAATTCGTGTGTATGATATAAGTTGTTAAAGATTTTCATTTTATATCAGGTAACTTTCAAAATTTTACAAAATGTTAATTTTGATTTGAAATTTGAAAATTATTTAATCCATTTTATAAAAAAAAACTTTAAAAACTACGAAATCAGTTTGAAATCAAATTGTATTCTAACCAGTGTTTTTTTAAGTCAATAAGATATAAGATAAATCTATGTCATCTTTTATTGAAAGACTTTACAACAGAAATAGGATGATGCATGTCTTTTTTCTTCTGCTTGTAATTAGATTTTACACAGAACTGTTTAACAAGAAATGTCCAGTTTTAAAACCAAGATTGTCAAATCTAAGATAAACTCAAAGAAAGCAAGCTGAGTAGTATTGATTTCAATATATAAATAGCGGTAGTGTAGATAAAATTCTTTGAATTGACCAGTTGCAAGAACATTTTAAATATATTTGTTTTTGACTGCAACCTCAGTGTTCACAAAAAGAAGTTATTTTAATGAAATGATAGATTTTTTGTAAATGAATGTTGGACAGACCATACAAATCTTGAACGGATAACTTAATTGTATTTCATTAACATAATCAATTCTTCAATTCAAGAACTCCAGCATAATGCACATTTCTAATAGTTAAGAAAGTAAGAAATTATTACAAGAGCATGATATCAACTGTCCTCTGACAAATTAATACAACTCTCTTAAATCACAAAATTTACATGCACATAATTATACCCATGGAACAAAGTTCCGTAGGGTATAATGTTTTTGACCTGTCAGTCAGTCTGTCCATCAGTCCAATTCTTGTTATTGCAACTCCTCTGAAACCACAAAACAGAATTTCATTAAACTTTGTAGATAACAAGGACATAATATGTAGATGTGCATATCGACATGAAATTATGATTCAATTTTTTTTCTGAGTTATGACCCTTTGAACTTATACTACTGCAACAGATTGTCATCACAACTCCTCTGAAACCACACAACAGAATTTCATGAAACTATGTAGATAATAAGGACATACTATGCAGATGTGCATATCGACAGGAAATTATGATTAAATTTTTTTTCTATGAGTTATGCCCCTTTGACCTTAGAATTTTGGTCTTAATATACTAGTGCAACAGTTTGTCATCGCAACTCCTCTGAAACCACACAACGGAATTTCATGAAACTATGTATATAATAAGGACATACTATGTAGATGTGCATATCAACAGGAAATTAGGTTTCAATTTTTTTTCCTAGGAGTTTTGAACTTAGAATTATGGCCTCAATAAACTACTGCAACAGTTTGTCATCGCAACTCCTCTATAACCACAAATCAGAATTTTATTAAACTTTGTAGATAATAAGGAGATATTATGCAGATGCGATATCCACAAGAAAGTTTTAACAGTTGACTTTTGTAGGAGTTATGAGTCTTTGAACTCAGGAATCTGGTGAGATTTTGTTTGCCCAGTGACAATTAATGTGGGGGCGTGGGGTATGTGAGTGTGCTCACATATGTTCTTTAATTAATTAAATGTATGTTCATAATTTTAAATTTTAATATATAACAACAGCTTTTAATGTTTCTTGAATTTTTCAGAGACTTTCATTTCTATGTAAGGTTTTGAGGATTAATATAGACTGTACAGCATCAAAATCATGGGTGGAAATTGATGCTATAAAGATTACTGGAACAGTACCATATCCTCACAACCAAACAGCACCTTCACCAGTTATCAATAACCAATCAGTGCATAACCCAAACAATGTTGACCAGTGGGTATCCAGAGTTGTTAACTATTCTTCCCAATATGATGATAATTCGTAAGTTATTTAATTACAATACATTCAAGTTTCATTGTAATAATCTTTATTATTTTAAGAAAAATATACATAAAAACATAACTTTTAGCTTATGTTGCTACTAGTTATGATCAGCCATTGTTAATTTAAGTACTGTGGTATGAAGACAATAAAATTACATTGTTATTACTATAGTACTATAATTGTATTTCCTGAAGCATTTCATTTTGCTATAATGTATGCCTTTCTGCAATAACTGTGGCTGTTCAACTTTGGATGGTAAAATGATATGCCTTCCAGTTTGTTTTTTAGGCTGTTTAATTTGTAATTTTTAGTTTGTATTTGAAGGTATGTTTGTCATGAGTATTTTTAATTTGTCAGCTGGCCTGCATCTTGTATTGCTGGAGAACCAAGAGTCTATCCAAAGTATGGTGATATATCAGGATCATGGGCCCAGGGGACCTTAGATGCTAATCAGTTTGTTGAGGTAAATTTCATATATCAGTATAAATGATTTTAAAAATTGTTGTGGTTTAAAAGTATATTTGACAGTATTAAGAATTTTTATGTTGTCTGTAGAGATACATACAAATTTTTGGCAACAGTGATAAAATGATCCTGCATCTTGATTATGTTGTATGCATGAAGGGATTTTTTTTTGTGGGGGAGGGGGGTGCAGGGGGCTCGGGACCCTCTTATGGAGCTACATATATGCTTATGTGTAGACTTTTAACATGTTCCACACCTAACGTTGCCTAGTTTGTGGGCCCCCTTTTTTAAAATCCTGGATCCTCATCTGGTATGTGTGGCAATTTTTACTGGATCTATCGTTATTCAAATTTTGGACATGTACGTTTCATTTCAGACTGTTAAACATTAAACACTAAAAGAAACTTAATTTCCCTAAATGTTCAAAAATATTATTGATATTGTTCGTTTCCTGTTTTAGGTAGAATTTGCAGAAAAGATTTTCATAGAAAAAATAGATATTTATGAGACATATCATGCAGGAGCAGTGAAGAAAATTTTAGCCAAACGTCCAAATGGAGAGTGGTGTACGGTGTGGGAGACATCAAGAGCAATCTGTCAGAACAGCAGTAGGATATTTTCACCATCATTTCAGGTAGAATTTCAAACATTTTGCTTTAAATTTAGACTTTAGTAGAAACTAAAAGGGACAATATGGAATCAACCTGAGTTGAATATAAACTGGACAGTTAATTGCTAGTGTTTAATCAGTAGTGAGCAAAGACCTGTTAATACTAACAGTTGTTTAAGCTTGATCAAAGTTTTATGTACCAATTAACTGTCCTCCTTAAGGACTGTGTAAAATTCCTGAAAAGTTCAATAAGAAGGAAGGATAATGTGTTAAATCTGTTTTTCACTTAGCTGAGTAACATAACCACAAATAACTCTAGCACCACAAATCATACCATGGAGAAAAGTAATAAATAAATAGTTTATATATCTAACAAACCTGTTGACAAAGTGAAAAGTACTAGTAATGTTTTCATTCACTTATAAAAAAAATATATATTAATGTTATGATGTTGTTGAATTATATATTCCTGGACCTGGAAAAATATCTGCTATGTTAGAAATACAAATTTCAATAGAGCATTTTAAGGACCTTGTTTGAAAAAGTCTCAGCTGGTGTTTTACTGCATCCATTTAGTCTATCAGTCTATATGTTCTTCCTTCCATCTGTTCATTTGAACTGAAAGTTTTACTGAATATTACTCAACTTAAGTTTGAAGGATTGGTTGTTTTGTTTGATAATAAAGCTGTAGACAGAATGTTTATAAGGCAGGACATGATAGTTACTTTCCTAATGTCTTTAGAAATGGTTTTGATCCATTCATTTTCCGAATTGTGATCTTCTAAAGATTTTAGTGTTGTAATCTGGGACATCATTGTGGTGCTATTTATGGTCAATTTAGAATGGCTTTTTTTTTAAGACTAGAGGGTTATTATTTTCGTATTGATTTGAAGATTACCTATCAAGGCTTTTGTGAAAGAAAAATAGCAAGCATCACTTTTTGTTATGTAAACGCATTTAGGGTTTTATTCTATTACTTTATATAATGCAAAATATAACAAAAGCGTGAAATACCAGATACTCGTATTTATGTACATGCACAACTTATCTTTTTGTTATTTCTACAGAAATTGAATTTTCGATGTAACGCACTGAGAATTAATGTTGATTGTACTGTATCTGGATCATGGGTGGAAATTGATGCCATCAAAATCTCAGGAACTAAGTTCAATTTTGGTAAGTAAGTTAAAGCAATCTAATCTGAGTTCATTCAAAAAGTGTCTAGAACATCTAGATCTGAGGACTTTTGAAATAAACTGGAAAGGATACTTGATTATAATTAAGTAATAAAAATTTATTTATTAATTGGTATTCTATGGTCAATTTAATATTCAATAAAATTTTCAACTCATGCATGTTATTGTTTTTTATTACATATGTTTTTTTTTAAGCTGTGCATTTGCATGAGCCATTTGGAAAAAATGATCTAGATTATAAACAGACACGAAAGTTTTAAAAAATTCTCAATCATTATTATTTCTTTTGACTTTCATGATAACATAGAATTACAATTTATCTTGATTTCCAAAAGAAACAAAGAAATAAAAAAAAACAATCTGCATACCAATTTTCAAAAAAAACTATTTTACACAAATGAACTTCTTTTTTCAACTCCAAAGCAATTTCTTCATTCCTAAAGCTGTAAATTGTCTAGAGAATGTTAAACAAAGTATCCTGTTAAATACATTAGAGTTTATCTTATCACTGAATTATGATCATGACCCAAAATTACGTTTACAACATACGGACAGAATTTTTTTTCTTTTGTCAAACAAAATTTTTTTATTGATGCTAATGAAAATTTGACACAATTAAAGGATTTTTGGAACATGCTATAATTTATTGATGATAGTCCTCCTTTTCATTCAAGATTTTTGTCATGATTGCTTTATTATACAAATTTGACAATTTACCCTTCATTGCTTACAAATCTGACATAATCTATAGTTTTATAGGTGTTTTATTTGTTTCTGACAGATTAAATTTTTGTACTACATTTTCCATTTTGATTCCCCCCTGTGTCCCTTCATTATTATGAAAATAGTTACACCATTTGTGGCCATAGTATAGGACCATAAGTTTACTTTTCAACTTACAGTACAGAAGATTGAAAGGAATATTTTTTTTATCCATAGACATTTTTCAGATGTCTTTGAATTTGAACTGGTTGTATACATGTTCATTTTTTAACATTACAAGTTTTATGAAATAATAGACAAGCACATTAACAGTACATTTCTTTTGTTCTTCAGATGCACCCTATTTAAACTGTTGAAAAAAAATCACTTCATTATTATCTAGTCAGAAGCCAATGGAAAACTAAATAATTTCTTTAGATTTCTATAAATGAATGTAGACTTTGTGTGATTCATTATACATGTATAATGTCATATATTATTTAAAACCAACTGATTTATTTTAGACATCCCACCAGCACCAAATGATATCACAAATGATTTAGCCAAACTTGTCAATAGTTCAGTGTTTAGTGATATCCAGTTTGATGTAAATGGAGTTAAATTCCTTGCTCACAGAGCCATCTTGTGTGTCAGATCTGAGTACTTCAGGGCTATGATTCATTTTGAAGAAAATGGTTCAAGGGTAAGAATTGATATCAAAATTGTAAGGAAGATTTAGATAACTTTAGAAAAGAATGAATGATATATGTGGGAATTCATCAATGAGAAAACAACCCAACAATAAAATAAGTGCACAAAAGACGTCTAGAGGTCAACATTCTGTCTGGAACAAATACAGGTGCAAGTAACATAGGTCAGTGAGCCATAAATTGTCCAGAGTCTAGACAAGTTCTAAATTAATTTAAATAAGACAACACAAAAAAAAACCAATAGACATCTAGAGTAAGGAAAATGGTATTCAAGCTACCAAACACCACTTTATAGCCTAAAACAAAACATTGATAGGTGTACAAACTACTGTCCCCAACAATAAAAGATAAGTGTGACTATACCATATGTCAAACTCGGAATAACCTAGATTCAAGGAGGGTTGTGAATAAATTTAAAAGAGACTACTCCAGATTTGTTGTCAACACGGAAATCTATTAATTGAAAAACACCATAATATAATAAAAGATAACCACTGCTGATTAAGTTTTCTGAACTAGACTATAGACACACCTAAATGATGCTGTATTAAAATAGGGTTTTTTTAGTACTCACTCTTCCCTCTTTTTTAATCATTATCAAGAGAAATAACAATAGGTTAATAGAAAAACATACATCAGGGTTGTTTGTTGGTGTTTTTTACCACTTTCAGTGCTCTTTGGTGTATCATGAAGGCCAGTTTTTATTGGTGGAAGAAGCCACAGAAAACCACTGACCTTCGAAGGAAGACTGGCAATCCTTGTCAATTAAGATAGGAGTCAAACACACCTCAATATGAGAGGAGTTTGAACTCACAACCTTAAAGTTGATAGGCTAGTGATCGCTGTAGATGAACTACATACCTCTCAGCCACTGAAGACCATACACCAGGATTGCCTAGTGTTTTAAATGATAGAAATTTAACTGTTGAAAGTGGTGGGATTATGATCATACAAGAAGTGGCAGAAGAATCTGTTTCTATATATACTAATTTTTAGACTATTTGTAGATATTTTTTTTAATTTCGCTCTTATGATCTACAAAAATAATTAACAAATTCATTTAAAGGGTGATCCTACTATGCATGATTGCCTTTATTCACTGTGTCATAATAACTAACCCCAAAGACAGCAAGAAAATAAAGTATCACTAAGCTGAAAATTAGAGTACTGATATATATACATGTATGAGTATAATTTTTATCTTTCTCTAGGCTCGTGGACAAGGAACAACACAACCAACTGCCCCTCCCCTGCCATCTGAAGAAGTGTACCAACCTGAACAGATGTGTAATGCACCTCCATCTTATGACTCTGTAACTCAATACCAACCTGAGATGCCCTCTGGACCAGTGTCTGGACTAGTGCCTGGACCAGCTCAATATCACAACCAACAACAAACCCAGGTATAGCTCTTGTAAGGCCAGACTTTTTTTATCTGTTTAACGAGAAAATTTGTAAAAATTAGGGTCGAGGGGACGAAAAAAAAAAATAATAAAAGTGCAAAGTTGGTCCAGTCGACACTAAAAATAAAAATAAAACCATTTTTTTTTTTTTTCAGAATTTATCAAAATACAAGAACAATGAAATGAAAACAGACCAGTATATTAACCTTCTATTAATATGAACATAAAAAATATCTTTTGTTTCTGTATGTCCTCTAATTTAGATCCATGCATATGCACCAGGCAAATATATCAACCTCCCTGCATATACACTATATATATGTATGTTACATGTTTATACTGTATATACAATTCAATTAAAAAAACTACTCTGTTATCATGTTCATGAAATTAATTATTTTTCATTAAAAAGATATATTCATTTAACCGTCAAGCTTGGAAATAATATAATTATTTTATATTAGTGTAATAGACATGGTTGAGCAACATTAACTTATAAATTGAAACAATGCATTAAAAAGGAAATATAAACATTAATCAAAAATATCTAATGGTAATTTTTCCTTTTGGGATCAATTTTTGTCTGTCAGCAGTGCCATTCATGCGTCCGTAGTCATTATCGCAAGAATCCAGATTTCAGTCATAGCGGGTCCGCTTCCGATGAAATCCGGAATCCAATCCGTAGTTCTTTAAAAATATACCCAATAATTTAAATGTCAAAGAAAACTTTACAAAAATAAACGATGTTTGATACGCTTTTTGGAAAGGAATATGACGTTTTTAATGCAATACATGGATTACAAATTTACTTCAGGCTAATATCATCAAGTTCAAATGAAGTAATAACTTATTTAGCCTAAAGTTAGAATGATTTGATGTACTCTCTCGTGTAACAAGTATCGGCGAAAGTGGTTTTAAACAAATTGTTTTTATGAAAAAACATGCCACCAGCTTAAAAAATCAATGCTTTAACCTCTTTTTTGAAGTCATAAATCGTTTATGCCTTTAATTTCTTTACTTTGAAATTGCTGTTTCATCGACTTGGTAAAAATTAAATATTACTGATGACGAAAGCGGGTATCGTAAACCACATATTTTATTTTTGTTCTGAGGATTTCGTAACAGTTGGCGGGAAAAATAAAAATAAAAGTAAAAAGCACTTCTTCTATTTTTATTATGAAATCGGGTAATTGGAGTTGGCGGATCTCGTTAAACAGATAATAAAAAAAAACTGGCCTAAAGGACCATTCACAGAGAGACTCTTAGGTCTTCTTTATAAATGAAAAATAAAAAGTCATTCAAGGTCAAGTCAAATAAATTGACCATTGCCTGATGATAATTTTTTAATTGAGTTCTTTACTTTATTTTTGTGTGAGTGTTGAAGATGTTTTTTCAAGAACCCACGAGAATTTCTTTCAATTGAAAAGTATTATTTCTTGTGAAGGTAAATTGAAAGTTATTTTAGAAGGTAAACCTAAAGGGGTATCACATCATAATTTTATTCATATACATGCTATCAGACATGCCTATACATGCTATCAGACATTCCTGTACATGCTATCAGACATGCCTACACATGCTATCAGACATGCCTACACATGCTATCAGACATGCCTATACATGCTATCAGACATGCCTATACATGCTATCAGACATGCCTATACATGCTATCAGACATGCCTATACATTCCATCAGACATGCCTATACATGCTATCAGACATGCCTGTCATGAAAGAGGTATAATTGACATATACTTATTTTTGCTAATATTTGAAACAGAATGATAAATTTAAATGTTATAACCCTATTTATTTGGTCAATTTAGGCTCAGTCACCAATAAAACTGAAGGATGTGGAGCCAGGAGTATTTGCTGTTGTATTACATTATGTATACACAAACAGAATTCGACCATTTTGTTCACCACATGTTCTGCCACATGTCTGGAGAAGTAAGTTAAGGATATATACTTACCTTACAGCTTTTACTATGATATATTAGAAAGTAATGTTATTGATTAGAAATATAAATATATCAATTTGCCTACAATCGAGTATTAAACACTTCACTAAAGATTCACATTCCATAAAAAAAATCTTTTTATAACAAGTTTTTTTATAATGATAATGATAGGCAGAAAGCTATGTGTAAAAAAGAAGCTTAAAATGATTGATAAACTTCCATTAAATCTTACAGTTCATTTTCTTTCTTGAGATTGTATTAGGGAGCAACCATTTAACTTCAAGGGAGGGTTATTTTTTTTTGTCTGAGTCAGAAATTTTTTTTTGTGCAAAGCGCAAACATTTTTTTTTAGTTTTTCGACGCTATCAATCAAATTATTTTTTTTCAAAATTTAACACTTTAAGGCATGGGGAAAATCTGGATTCAGAATATTTTTTTTTTGTCATCTGCTTGACCACAGTTTTTTTTTCATCAAATTGGGATCAGAATATTTTTTTAGGAAAAAACCATAATCCCCCCCCCCCACCTTGAAGTTAAATGGTTGTTCCCTTAGAATTATATTTACATATTAAAATCTAACTATTTCAGAGTCATGAAAATATTAAATATCCAACTTTGTATACATTACACAAGTCTATTAAACACAAATAAAATAAAAATCATACTTAGTAATTTATATTCACTCCCTCAATTTCACAGAATAACTTACAACATTTGGTGTATATTATGTAATCCTAATTTACCTTGTTTTTAGTTGCTGATAGATTTGCTATGGATGGTTTAAAGGCGCTGGCTATCTTACAACTGAATACTTCATTAACAATAGACAATGTTATAGATATTTATCAAAATGTGATATACGGACTTCCTGTTAGTGGTAAGTCCATGAAGACATCTTTCTGTTGAACGTGATGATCACATAGATATCATTTATGCAACTTATAGAAAATATCATTGATCTATCAGAAGTAGTTCTTATAAAACTAGTTTAAACAGAAAACTTAACATTGAAAATTGCTTAATAATTGAAAGTCGCTGGACCTTGACCTAGGGGGCAGGGCCTTAGAATAGTTGTCAAACTGATATGTACTGATAGTAATGCAACTTTATAGAAAGTATCATTGATCTATCACAAGTATATTCTATCAAACTAACTTGAGCAGAAAACTTAACATTGAAAATTGCTCATTAATTGAAAGTCGCTGGACCCTAACTTAGGGGGCAGGGCCTCGAAATAGTTGTCGAAGTGATATGTACTGATGTTAATGCAACTTTAAAGAAAATATCATTGATCTATCACAAGTAGTTCCTATCAAACTGACTTCTGCAGAAAACTCAATAATTGTTGATGCATCCTCTGCCGTCGCGGCTGTCAAAGCATCAACTATGTCTTGCTTTCCTCAACACAAAAAATCCTACAAAAAAATGTAGGCTTCAGATCACTTACAATGCGATATACCATATAATTTATATTTCCAAGGGACAGAACTCCTCTAAAAATAGTTGATTGGCACTGATTTCCAAATTCAATGCTGATAAAAAAAACTTTGATATCAATTTCATAAAAATCTGGCAAGAATTGTATGCTTCAGAGCTCAATTTTCATAGTCTTATTTTGGGTTCAAATGAATTTTTAAAAAGGAACGGGCCAAAAGCTGTCATAAGTTGATGCCTGAATTTTTAAATCACAATCAAACATCTGTTCTTTGAATTTATGGAAAATAATTTGAAGCCAAAAACTTTTTACAGCAAGAATTACAAAGAAGAATTGGATGGAATATTTTAAGAACATCATAGCAACCAGTATGTATTACTGCATCTCAAAGTTAGCGTAATAATGTCTGATCTGCTTATTTGTGTAGCAAATTTTTGTCCTTCCACAGTGGAATTACAATCTGTGCTTCTTTAACATCGAGGCAACTCTGCCTGCAATGTGTGAAGCGACATAGATCAAAAGGTCAAAAAAAAGAATATCATAATGGTGTTTATCAAGAATATTGCATAGTAAGAACTCTTACGCCTAATTTTTTTGTCAGACTTTTATGAAATCCTTATCAAAGGTTTATTTTTGCAAGTTTTTAGACTAGTTGGATAATCAGTGCTGATCATCTGTTTTTACAGTTGGTTATTATGCCACTTGGAAACAAAAATTATATTAAGCAATGCACTGTTAGTGATCTCACACCTACAAATTGGAGTTATTTCTCTTGGGCAGAAAAATATTTGCATTGACCGGGGTAATTTAAATGCTGTTCTTTTATTTTCTCTAGTACATAAATACAAAGTTATTACTTCCATCATTAGATTGAGGCAACAATTTAAATGAGAAACACCACTGGATGAAAAACAAACAACAATCAATCAATCAATCATTTAAATACTTGATTTATGATTTCAGATAACATGAAAGATGTGTGTGAACTTTTTATGCAGAATCATATGGCAGAGGTTGTTAGACATAGAACGTTTATGAATTTAAACAAAAAACTTGTGGCAGAATTAACAAGGAAAATGGTTAAAACTGGGAAATAAATTGATAGGCATAGCGAAGAATGTTAAACAATGTAACAAGATATTTATAAGATAGAATTAGTAAGATTCTTATTAAAATAAATTAAATGAAGTTAAGTATTTGAGAGATAAGTCTTGGATAAAATGACTTAAGTTAAGGGATTACACTTCTAAACCAGGAGTAAGGCTTTGAGAGATCCTGATGAATCTATTGAGTTAAAGATATACAAAGCAGTTTTCGTCACTATAAAACTATTGAAGCTGTAAAGACAATTACTATATAGAATACAGAAATTGATGTTAATATGACACTTACATGTAATTACAGATGCTGTAAGACAAATTAACATGTAATTTAACGATCAAAAGTAGCAGATGTAGATAATGTGGGCATTAGATTGAATTAGTACTTGATATTGATACATCATAGAAGTTACCATTCAATTGTCAATCAAATAAGTCATTAATTATTTCTACAGTATGATCAAAAGGAAAATATTTGTTTTCTTTTATTGGTTTTCTAATTTTTTCTCTAATTTTCTATTTAAGATGGGTTTTATATTTTTGCCCTACTGTGGATTCATTTATTTTTGTTGGAACCAATTTTCGTGGATTGAGGAAAAATTGTATTTTCGTAGATATTTGATTTTGTATTTTTGCCAAAGTCTGCATACAAGTCTATAGAAACTTATACTTTGTTGAATGTTGAAAGTCATGGTTCACCTATACCCATGAAATCCACAAAAATTAGTATCCCACAAATAATTAAGAATCCCCAGTATTTCACTATTGGCAAGACAGTTGATCATCCTGAAAATGTATGAAATATTTGTGATTGGAAATTATGCAGTCAATGAACATTCAATCAATTAAGATCATTTAAACTAATTTTCTTTCTTAGTGTTTGCCTATATAGAGGGTTTACCCATTTACATTGAACTACAAAAATATTACAGTAAACAATATAAAACAAATGGGAATAACTTAAATTTGTAATCATTAGTTTTATTTTTTTTCATGCAGTAATAGTGTCATACTGGTAAATATTTTTAGAAACATTTAATTCTTTGTTATGAAATTTTATTAATTATTACTGTTTTTTAATTAATTGTGTTCTTTTAAACAGGGTAAGTGTCTTAACTTTTTTTACACTATAATTGTGCAATGTGTAGGTTTTTTTTGTATTAAAAAGATTCCAATTTCAAAGCATGACTCTTTTTAGTTTATTAATGCTCTAAAAGTTATTATTGTCTTCAACTATATCTCTTTTAAAAAGGGTAGTTTCAAAAATATAAAATATATGATTTTTAAACTATTTAATATTTTTGTCGAGCCTGGGACATTTATGTCGAGAAAGCGAGACATAGTGATCCTAGATTCTGTCGTCGGCGTCAGCATCATCAACATTTAGGTTCAGTCTGTGGTTAACGTTTTTTTAGACATTATTAACTTTGTCAAACCTTCATGGAATTTTATGAAATTTGGACAGAAGCTAAGATGCTTATGACCAAAATAAAGTATCCAGAGTGAAATTTTGAAAATATTCATTTTCATTTTTCCATATTTTACTGATAAATGTACTTAGTTTTTTAACAGTTACCAAGTTGATACAGTCTGAGGTTAAAGTTTGTTACAGGTCAATTACTTTGTCAAAGCTTTATATAATTTTATGAAACTTTGGCAGAAGCTTTTTTATGATTAAGAGATAATGTCTGAAGCAAACTTTTTAAAATATATTTTTATTTCATTTTCAGTATTTTTCTGATAGATTGACCTAGTTATTTTACAGTAAACATTTACAGACAGTCTTGGATTAAATTTGTTTGACATGATAAATTTGTAAACCTTCAAGGATTGTTATGAAACTTGGACAGATTAGCTAATCTTCAATACCAAGAAATAGCATCTAAAGAAAAAGTTTGAATTATTTTTTAATATCTGTATTGTACTGATAAATGGACTCACTTTTTAAAGTCAATATTACACTTTTACACTGACAGCAGCAAATAGCAGGCGAGATACTGGGTTCAAAGGAACCGCTTATAAATTTTTTATTTGACTTGCTACTATTATTTATTTTTTGACAGTTGTGAGAAAGACTTTTTCACAGCATACTGTTTTTAATAGACTATGGAATAACATTAATATTTAGTATATTTGATAAGAAGATATGTGAAGAAAGCTATAAATATTAATCCACAGATTGTTATTTGCACACTTTAGTTATGTTAAATATGTGTATTACAGTTGGTTTTCCTTATTTATATATGCTTGTTTCTGTTAATTGCATGAAGTCAATTGTTCTTCTCTCATGTAAATTGTTATTTCCTGGTTTTTTTTTAAGTGCTTGATTTCTCTAATTCATGTGAATAAGTAAATGAAAGTATTTTTTATATTTCACAATTAATTTTTCACATGTTTTCCATTGGATTTCCAGTTTTTGATTTGGGGTTGTACAACAGAAGGGTAGGGCATGTGGATGCTTATCTCCATTTGTTTCTGTGCAATAACTTATAAACCTTACATTGATGCTTTTCAAATATTATTATGTTGTTACTGATGACAAATTGTAGGTCATCTTTCATATTGATGGTGGTCACTATTGCGGTTCAGGAGTATGGTCCTTGATTGATTTGAAAATGCCACTTTATACAATAACTTGAGATCTGATCAACCAAGTTTTTTTTCAAATTTTAATATATTGTTACTGATAACACAATGGAGGTCAAGGTGGATATTGATGATTTTCCCTTTTGCTATTCAGGAGTTATGGTCCTTGATTGATTGGAAAATGGCATTTTAAGTCATTTCCATTGCAATAAGTTGAGAAAATTTTGACTAGTGCGTTTTAAGTTTTGATATATGTTGTTACTAATGACAAAATGGAGGTCAAGTTTGATATTAACAAATTTCACTTTTGTTAATCAGGAGTAATGGTCCTTGATTGCTTTATCAATGGTACTAATTAAAGTGTTATTCTTATTTTGACAGGCTTTTGTTTTAAGCATTAGCTTTGAGTGATATTTTGGGAAAGTGATTACCAAATTATACATTTTTGTACAGAAATCTTACATGAAAACAAAGAGGTGTGGAAGGATTTCTAATGAGACAACTAAACTATAAGGAAGATAAAAACTACAGGTTACTTTTAAGTTTTCATTAAGCTTTTATGTAATTTTCTTTTTATGATGCAATCTTGTTTACTTTTTCATATGAAAAGATTTTAAAAAGTATTTTTGTTTTATGCTAAAACAATTTGTCTTTCTTATGAATCAAAGCAGTTGCAAGGTATACATTAAAGAGACAGCAACCTAACAGTTCAAATAAAAACAAAAGACATCTACAGATCAACATATTTATATTGTGTAATATTGTCAGGTATTAAAAGAGACAGAATTTATCAGTCAATCAATAATTGTTTTTGTTAAATTGTTACTGTATAATTAAAATTGTTTATTATATTTTCATGATATTGTTATAAATTTGTCTTTCAAATGAATTATATTTTATCACTTTACAATGTGTGTATTTTTATTTTTATTTATAATAGTTATGTGATTTTGATATACATTGTAAATTCTTAAATATTTAATGGGAAAGGGCTAATTTTTAATTGCCATAATTTTTTTAACTGGTTATATTATTTATTACCACCAATTTATAGAAATCAATTAACCTTTTTATTCTGAGAATTCTAATACTTGTTTATTGGAAATATATTATAAAAGACAACATTAGATCTATTTAAATATACTTTATCTGTATAATTTTTTTATTCTGTTTGTAAAATTATTATATTACAAACAGATTTTACATATTTTGTTACATATGTTGGAACATATTTATCAACAAACATTAAATTACAACTAGTCGAACAGTCTTCGTTTATTTATAATTAATATTATACTTGGGGTTTGAGCCATGTTCTGGTTATTTCAAAAAGGAACAAGTTGTACTTATATCTAAAAAAATACTAATCAATCTTTTATGTGTTTGATCCATAGAAATATTACATTTTGTCAGCTACAAATCAGTGTGTTAGGGTGCGTTTGAGCTATAGAAATGCTTGTTTGTCATCTAATAATCAGTGTGTTCAGGTGTGTTTGATCTTTGGAAATGCTATAGAGTTTGTCAGCTACTAATCAGTGTGTTGGGGTCTGTTTCATCTATAGAAACGCTATTGAGTTTGTTAGCTACTAATCAGTGTGTTAGGGTGTGTTTCATCTATAGAAACGCTATAGAGTTTGTTAGCTACTAATCAGTGTGTTTGGGTGTGTTTGACCTATAGATATATTGCATTTTGTCAGCTTCTTACATACATATGTGTCCAGATATACTTGATCTATAGAAATTTTATAGATTTTGCCAGCTGCTCTCCAATTGGCCTGGTAAACTTTTATCTATAAAATTTTTATAACGCTTGTTACTTCTTATAACTGTTTCAAGGTGATCTATAGAACTCTTATACACAGTGTACAGTGAACTTGATTCATAGAAATATAGAATAAATCAACAATATGAAGTGGGGATAAGTTTGGTATGGATGTTTTCGATCCTCCGCCTTATAAGTTGATCAAAGGAATGATGAGGGATAGGAAAGAAGTACAAGACTTCCTTTTGGGTAAAGTTGTTTATCATATCTTAAAAGTGGTGATTTTATCAGTTTGACCTCATTTTATGCATCAGTGATCAAGGTAAAGTTTTCGTGGTCAAGTCCATATCTCATACTATATGTAAGTAAAATGTATTTGGTGTATGGAATGTTGTAAGATGAACATATCTGTTTAAAAGGTTTCAGTTGCCTCTTTCATGAGTCTGGTAAATGTTAAGTGCTTTGTTCTTTAGTTCGTTTCTCAGATACTATAAGCAATAGGTTAACTATGTTTGGTGTATGGAATGAATGCAAGGTGTACAGTTCTGTCGGACATCTGACCTTGACCTCAATTTCATGGGTCAAAGTCGGCGTTATATTTTCATGGTTAAGTCCGTTTTTATACGCCCGTTTACGGGATGTATTATGGTATACCGTTGATCGTTTGTCCGTCCGTCCGTCGTCAACATGTCGGACATTAACTCAAAAACGCTTTAACCAATATGCATAAAACTTTGACGAATTGTTTATATCTATTGACGTGAGCTCCCTTTCGTCTTTTATAAATTTCGGATTTACCGTTTCCGAGTTTTGGGGTTTTATTCATTAAAAAAAGGGGGGGGGTTTCCAGTTTGTGGACAATAACTCAAAAACAATTTCACAAATTTGCAAGAAACTTTGGTGAATTGTTTATTTCTATCGACATGAGCTCCCTTTTGATTTTTATAAATTTTAGACCATACGTTTCCGATTTATGGGATTTTATTCATTACAAAAAGGGGGATTTTCCAGTTTTCGGACAATAACTTAAAAATGCTTTCAGCATTTTTTATGAAACTTTGGTGAATTGTTTATATCTATTCAGTATTGATGTAAGCTCCCTTTAGAATTTTACAAATTTTAGATTTTCAATTTCCGAGTTGTGGGGTTTTATTCATTAAAATAGGGGGGATTTTCCAGTTTTTGGACAAAAACTCAAAAACAATTTCACCAATTTGCAAGAAACTTTGGTGAATTGTTTTTTGCTATCGACATGAGCTCCCTTTTGATTTTTTTAAATTTTAGACCATACGTTTCTGATTTATGGGGTTTTATTCTTTTCAAAAAGGGGGATTTTCCAGTTTTCGGACAATAACTCAAAAATGCTTTCAGCATTTTTTATGAAACTTTGGTAAATTGTTTATATCTATTGTTGTAAGCTCACTTTTGATTTTTATAAATTTCAGATTTTACGTTTCCGAGTTATAAGATTTGATTAATAAAAAAAGGATTGATTTTCAAGTTTTTGGACAATATACTTAAAGTGCTTAGAGCAGTTTTCATTAAACTTTGATGACTGATTTATATCTATTAAGATAACCTCCCATTAGTTTTTTATAAATTTCTGATAAAACATTGAGAAGTTATTGTTTGTTTATAGTCAGACAACAGATTTACTAAGTATTGCGCAACAGCACAGTGTATTGAACAACAGCAAGAAATCTTTAATTGAATATAAATTCAATTCATATAACCAATTTCAAGTTCTTCGACTACATTTATTCAGAAACCTATAATATGTCAAATATTTAATTACAATCCAAATTCAGACCTGTATCAAGCTTGAATATTGTGTCCATTTTTGCCCCAACTGTTCATGGTTGGACCTCTGCGGGCGTATCCAGCTGCGCTCAGCGAAGCAGTTTATTTTCAGATACTATCAGCAATATGTTAACTAATGCGGTGTATTGAATGATTACAAAGTGTTCAAAGAATAAGAAGATGTGGTATGACTTCCAATGAGATAACTCTCCACCAGGCCAAATGTCGTAGAATTTTGCAACTATAGGTCACCCTACGGCCATCAACAATGAACAAGACCATTGCGAGCTGTCTGGCAGTGTTCTTCTGACTTTGAATTCATTTTCATGGTTCATTGGGTAAAGTTTTCTTGGTAAGGTCCGTTTCTCAGAAGCTTTACACAATATTGAGAGGCACACATGTCCGTTTGACAGGGTTCATCTGACCATTTCCTCATTTACATGGATCATTGATAATGTTAATTTTATGTAATACTTGTACAACCTTTTTCTCTAAGACTTTCATTATAAATTTAATCATGATTACTAAACCAGGCGAGAAATTTCAGCGTGTGCTCTATTTTTTTAAAAATTTTAACTGGTTTATTACAACTACCCTTCGCCTACAAATTACTTACATACAATCATGATTTGTAATAACACTATGATTGATGGACGTGTAATTATGTTGATGTGAGGTATTTGATTTTTCATCAAAACTGAACACTTAGAGGTTTGGATAAAAATATGAATAATAATACAAATGACGAAATGTATCCAGGTAGTTTACACGAATATTGCTTAACAGTGTTTGAAGGAACATTAATCGTGCCTACAGTTTTTGGCAACATTTTGCTTCTTTTAAGTTTTTTCACTCGTAAAACATTGAGGACTCGTAGTAATGCTTTGATTGGTAGTTTAGCAGTTTCGGATTTGTTTATAGGAGGGATAGTACTACCATATGATGTCTTAAACATGATATTCACCAATCTAAAAGACGAGAAAATAACCTGTCTATTACAATATACATGTTTTATTACATTCGTTGGTGCTTCAGTTACAAATTTGTTTATAATATGTCTTGAGAGGTATTCAGCTATTATGTCTCCATTAAAACATTTTATAAAAGCCTCCAAGACGAGAGTGATCATAAGCATAACAACCGGATGGACAATTGCGATAATTCTTGGCCTTTTGCCGCTACTTGGTTGGAATATTTGGACGGCTGGTGTAAAGTGTAAATCCAAGTTAATATTCCCAAAAGGATACCTAGATCTTGTACTGACATTTTACTCAACACTGATTATAATATCAACCGTTTTGTATTCGTTGGTTGCTCGAAAAATCTTAAAGCATCTTAAATATTACAAAATTGGCAGATTAAATCACACTAGTAATGCTTGTGTCAACAAAAACCTCAATTCGAGCATCTACAGAAACATGAAAAAGACCAAGGCAATGATTTTTATATTGGGACTATTTGCAATATGTTGGGCCCCTTTTACTGTGCTGTTTATATTAAGAGTGTATTTTTTGGAAGAAAGCAATTTGGTAAAGCTGTTAAAAACATACTTCACAACATTTGGCTTGTTAAATTGTGCATTAAATTGGATGATATTTGGACTCATGAACAATTCTACAAGGAAAGCGCTAAACAATATACTGTTTTGTCAGTATGACGAGAAGAGGACTGTGAGAACTATATCTAGCACAATCACTACATGCTAATTGACAACTATCTTTTAAAGTAGTTGGACAAAAACTAGTTAGTATTCCGATTTATTTAAAAGACAGGATTAATTGATTTTTACATTTTTATTAAATTTGGAGGCACACAGCGTAAAAAGAGCTTGACATTGTAAATACGTCTGTCTATTGCAGAATACAGTAAGTTTACCTCTAGTTTTGTTTTGGTTATTTGTATCGATTGCTGGGTTGCTGTCTCATTGGCGTATAGCCCAGTTACCTTGTTTTTCATATTAAATATCATGAGCCGAAGCAAAATATACTTCTTTTGAATAAGATACTTGAATGCGAATGTTTTCCGGGTCACATTTTTCCCCATGAAGATTCCGCTCCTTTTTTTACCAAGCATATCCGGACCAGCCGTTAACCCGCGGCTTTCTATTTTTCTAATATCAAAGATAACTCGTAATTCAGTCTATAAAGTAACAACTTACTAACACCTATGGCAAGCCGTTTTACTTTTTATTCTAATTTCAAGATATCTCATATAATATATAAGATATCTCATATAATATATAAGATATCTCATATAATATATAAGATATCTCTTATAATATATAAGATATCTCATATAAGATATAAAATATCTTATATAACCTAGTTTTTTGACGAGCCTGTGATCCGGCGGCGGCGGCGGCGGCGTTAAAAACTTCTTAAAAGCTTAATATTTCAGAAGGTAGAAGACCTGGATCCTTCATACTTTGTATATAAATGCCTTAAGTTATGAAGTTTTCGTCTGTCATATGTCCATTGTCCTTGGCCTCATTTTTATGGTTCAGTGACTACTTGAAAAAAAGTTAAGATTTTTAGTATTCTTAATTTCTCTCTTATTATGAGTAATAGGATAACTATACTTAGTATATGCATACCTTGCAAGGTCCTCGTGCTGTCAGATAGTTTTCGCTTGACCTCGATCTCATTTCATGGATCAGTGAACAAGGTTAAGTTTTCGTGGTCAAGTCCATATCTCAGATACTATAAGCAATATGTCTACTATTTTGGTGTAAGGAATGATTGTAAGGTGTACATGTCCAACTAGCAGGTGTCATCTGACCTTGACCACATTTTCATGGTTCAGTGGTTAAATTTAAGTTTTTGTGTTTTGGTCTGTTTTTCTAATACTGTATGTAATAGGTCAACTTTATTTGGTGTATGGAAATATTTTGCGATGTAGATGTCAGTCTGGCAGGTTTTTTTTTTATTTGACCATGTCCTCATTTTTACTGTTCATTGCTCAATTTTAAGTTTTTGTGTTTTGGTCTGTTTTTCTTAAACTTTGAGCAATAGGTTAACTATATTTGGTGTATGGAATGATTGTAAGGTGTATATGTCTGTCTGGGAGTTATCATCTGACCTTGACCTCATTTTCATGGTTCTTTGCTCAATATAAAGTTTTCATGGTTTGGTTTGTTTCTTGTATACAATAAGCAATAGGTCAACTATATTTGGTGTATGGAATGATTTGTACATGTATTTCTGGCTTGGTTTATCTGACCTTGACCTCATTTTCTTTAATCTTGTTAAGTTTATGTGAAATTTTTAGTAAAACTTTATATTTAGGACTATCAGCATAAAATCAATGGCAAGAAAAGCAGCCGAGACATTTCAGCGTGTGCACTCTTGTATAAGATATCTTATATACTTTATGAGAAATCTTATATACTTTAAAGATATCTTCTAAAGTTTATAAGTAATCTTATAAAGTATATCAGATATCTTATAAAAGTTTATTAGACATCTTATAAAATTTTGTATAAAAGATATCTTATATACTTCATAAGATGTCTTATATATGGTATATAAGATATCTTGTATATTTTATGAGATATCTCATAAAGTTTATAAGATATCTCATATAATTTAAAGATACCTTATTAAGAAAATTATATGAGATATCTTATAAATTATATTAGATATCTTATAAACTATATAAGATATCTTATAAATTTTATGAGATATCTTTTATAATATATAAGATATATTTTTTATGTATAAGATATCTTATATAATATATAAGATATCTCATATAATATATAAGATATCTTATATAATCTAGTTTTTATACGATATCTTATATAGTATATGAGATATCTTATATATCATATAAGATATCTCATATAGTTTATAAGATATCTTATATACTTTATAAGATGTCTTCTAAAGTTTATAAGATATCTTCTCAAGTTTATAAGATATCTTATAATCATATATCACATGCATCTTCTTATTTTCATAAAGAAAATAATTGTTATTGGATCCTGTGAATTTCTAACCACGGTCTCATATTTAGTTTGCGTGGATGATGTTGCATATGCATACCAAATGTATGGAATGATTGTAAGGTGTATATGTCTGTCTGGGAGTTATCATCTGACCTTGACCTCATTTTCATGGTTCTTTGCTCAATATAAAGTTTTCATGGTTTGGTTTGTTTCTTGTATACAATAAGCAATAGGTCAACTATATTTGGTGTATGGAATGATTTCAAGGTGTACATGTATTTCTGGCTTGGTTTATCTGACCTTGACCTCATTTTCTTTGATCTTGTTAAGTTTATGTGAAATTTTTAGTAAAACTTTATATTTAGGACTATCAGCATAAAATCAATGGCAAGAAAAGCAGCCGAGACATTTCAGCGTGTGCACTCTTGTATAAGATATCTTATATACTTTATGAGAAATCTTATATACTTTATAAGATATCTTCTAAAGTTTATAAGTAATCTTATAAAGTATATCAGATATCTTATAAAAGTTTATTAGACATCTTATAAAATTTTGTATAAAAGATATCTTATATACTTCATAAGATGTCTTATATATGGTATATAAGATATCTTGTATATTTAATGATATGTCTCATAAAGTTTATAAGATATCTCATATAATTTAAAGATACCTTATTAAGAAAATTATATGAGATATCTTATAAATTATATTAGATATCTTATAAACTATATAAGATATCTTATAAATTTTATGAGATATCTTATAAATTTTATGAGATATCTTATATAATATATAAGATATATTTTTTATGTATAAGATATCTTATATAATATATAAGATATCTCATATAATATATAAGATATCTTGTATATTTTATGAGATATCTTATAAAGTTTATAAGATATCTCATATAATTTAATGATACCTTATTAAGAAAATTATATGAGATATCTTATAAATTATATTAGATATCTTATAAACTATATAAGATATCTTATAAATTTTATGAGATATCTTATATAATATATAAGATATATTTTTTATGTATAAGATATCTTATATAATATATAAGATATCTCATATAATATATAAGATATCTTATATAATCTAGTTTTTATACCATATCTTATATAGTATATGAGATATCTTATATATCATATAAGATATCTCATATAGTTTATAAGATATCTTATATACTTTATAAGATGTCTTCTAAAGTTTATAAGATATCTTCTCAAGTTTATAAGATATCTTATAATCATATATCACATGCATCTTCTTATTTTCATAAAGAAAATAATTGTTATTGGATCCTGTGAATTTCTAACCACGGTCTCATATTTAGTTTGCGTGGATGATGTTGCATATGCATACCAAACATTATCTATTATAAAACTTCTGTTTGGTCTGATCCTTCTTTCACAGAAAATTACTCAACAGATGATATTACAATTAACATTTTTGAAGACAAATAATTAAATGGCAGAGATGAATAAGCTCCAGGGAAGTAGTCTTTATGTGAGCTAACAAAACAGTTACCAACAACATTGCAATACGTAGCATGATTTAGCTTCTTTTTTGTGCTTTGTTCGGTCTTGTTGAGTTGTGTAATAGAGACAATTTGTTATGTAGGGTATGTATCGCATTGTCAACAGCTAAAAATTTATTGGTATTGAACTTAATTCTTCAGAAGAAATTCGTGAAGGTTTGGTGACTCATTGCCAATCTGCATTCAGGTTCAATAGCAACTTGATTAACCCTGTGAATGAAAAAGCTGTTGATAATACTATCAACGACTGGCTAGAAACTGTGCGTACCCACACAAACGATAACATTTAGGAATTTACTTTCGCTGAACTATATTAACTTTGCGATGGTCTGCCGCGTAATAAATCTCCAGGGTTGGATGGAATCTGTTTATACGAACATTTGAAATACGGCGGAAAGTTGCTTCAGTGTCATCTGTGTAATTTGTTTAATATTGCATTGGAAACAAGCTACACCCCGACAAGCTGGAAAGATAGTTATATCATACCTCTATTCAAAGGTGGACACAAATCAAAGTCGGATCCGAAGTCGTATCATGGAATTTCTCTTCTATGGAGCATATCAAAACTGGTTGAAAAGGCATCATATACTCATCTTCCATTGCTCTGCCACAACTTTCCACATTCAACACAAGTTGCATAGCAGAAGATATTTTCTAATACACGAGGGTAGGAATGCCCTTAACAGTCAGGCGTCAAAATGTCATTTTCGGCTACCGTTAGCGTCCAATTGGTTAAATTTTACCGTGATTCGTCAAAATATCCTTATCGTGATTCGTCAGAGGTCTCAAATAATTATCGTTACCGTTATTTTTGGAAAAAAATTAACGTGATTCGTCAGAATCAGTCGATTTTTTTATCGTCTAAAAGAAAATGTACATTTTATCGTCATGCACAAAAAATTACTGTAAACGTCATTTGGCAAAATTTTTTACCGTTATTCGTCATGAAGGTACCCCCATTACGACCCTCATACACATGCGAGCTTCAACATGCAAGAAGTTGTACGCCATATTTTGGAGCGACATAGTAATGTTATTGTGTCACTTTTGGACAGCATGGAAGCATAAGATACTCTGTGGAACAAAGAACTATTAGTCAAGTTGTATATATGCCATATAGATATGGAATTCGAGGTTAAACTTGGCTCTTGATCTATGAAATATATCAGATCATGCGTAGCAAGGAAAATGCTCAAAATGGTTTAAACTCAAAAGAGGCATAAGACAAGGTTGAGTACTGTCTGCTGTTTTCTATTTAGTTTTTATTAATGATCTACTTCGACAATTGGATGGAAGTCCTTATGGAAGTATGTTATTTAATCTTCGTGTAAGTAGTGCCGTACAAGCGGACGACATTGCCTTCATATC